TCAGAATTAAATTTTGTCTTTGCCATCAAGTGAACATGTTCTAAAATTTTCATATGTAAATGATCAGTGTATAAATAATTCCAAAATATTCACTGCTATTGTCGGGCCAAATCTCTGACCAGCCACAGAATGGATAGCATTGAGTTATTGGAACATACAAGATTGTAAACTACCAGACCCGTATGTAGTCGAATTAAGTCTGTATTATAAGTCTACATGTGTATTCTCATAGGAGACTATAAAATGTGGGCATGCTTTCAATTCACTGCAGTCTGTGATTTATGGAGGCACATAGGTCAGGAGTTTATTATGCTGAAAATCATAATAACTGTTTTGTTTTGCTTTGTAAGATGAAGTGACCGAAGCATGTTGAAAGATAAATGGGTGAAGCATTTTGATTATGCTTTTATTTCTATTAAAGATTAAATATTATTGCAGAGTAACCAGCCATGCTAAGTATTATAGTATTAAAGTTGAAGTCGTTTGTAAGCTGATAGCCCCTTCTTTCCTCTGGGTTTAGGTTTGTTATTAATCAAAATGTTGGACTTGTTTAGTGTAGTCGTGTATGAAACAAATAGTTGAAAAAGACAGCTACTTTAATTTACGGTTTTTGCTTTTTTCACTTTTGTAAGAAAATGTGTTTCTTTTTGTGGACTTTATGCTGTTGTTCACTTGTCTAGATTTCACTTCTTGTTTCACAGAAAATTGCAACCAGTAGTTGCAGAATCTCTCATGGCATAGAAAGGAGTAAGGTGCCTTTCGATGTTTTGGGGTTCCCCCCCCCCTTGTTTTTTGATCGTGGTGAAAGCATATACATGAAAACATCCCTCTGACACAGTTTCCACATGCACAGCTCAATGCCAGTGATTACAGGGGTTTTTCATATTTTGTTACCATTATGCCAGATTCTAGTAAATTCATTTTTGAAACATGGACAGTCCCTGCTAGAAATGGATATTAAGAAAAAAAACCTGTTTGTATTTTTAGGATTGAAAATAGTAACATGTTTAAAGTAAAAGAATGTGTAAATTGAAAGGCATTATTAATAAGTTAAATGGAGTTCTGCCGTGGCACTGTAGAACAAGCGCTGCTACTGCAAAGTTGGTGGTTGAAACCCACGAGCCGCTCCTTGGAAACCTACCCTATACAGGGTCACTTTGAGTCAGAGTCAATTTGATGGCACTTAGCAACAACAATAAACTAACTTGTTTTTTTTTAATATTTATATAATGTTATTGAGCAAAACTCTTTTAAAAGGCGTAGGATTCCAGCCACTTCCTGGTGTTTGCTTACTTGTCAGCACAAGAGTTATTTGAAAAGTTGCTAAGCATTCTCTGAAGTGTAACATAAACTTCTGAGTTCCCCATGAACTCAGGACAATTGTACCGCTCTTAAACATGCTTCTCATCAACGGTTATACACTTACAAACAATTTCTACGGAGTACACTTCCGGGAAAATGTAGCACAAATTGTAAGAAGACTTGAAGAAAAGATCACGTCTCAATATCTTCATTGGTTACTTTGTTGTGCATCATGTCGATTTCAACTCATAGTGACCCTGGGTAGGGCTCCCAGGGAGCAGCTGGTGGGCTTGAACTGCTGACTTTGTCCTACAGTATCACACCAGGACTCATTTAAGCAAAAAAAATACTGTGCTTGTTAGGCATAGTCTTAAGGAAAGCAGGCTACAAATATTATAGAGGGTTTTGGGATCAGGGGTTATTTGAAGCCTTAGTTATGGAGCCTTAATTACGGAGGAGATATTATTTTTAATTATCTGACTTTCAGAAACATGTTCAGTGGAGTGAGTCTGTAAGGTTGGCCAACTTCCCAAAGCATGAGGCTATCACTGATTAATTGGCTTTCAGAGGAGTATTCATTGAATTGTCTTTGATCATTTAGACCAAGGCTGCTGTTGTTATTAAGTGCCATTGAGTCAGCTCCTACTCATGGTGACCCTGTATAGGGTTTCTGAGGATCAGTTGATGAGTTTGAACCCACACCAGGACTCCAGACCAAGGGTGGTCATCATTAATTGATTGAATCCGATTTGATCCTGTTTCATTCTGTTTCTACTTGTTACCATGGCAATAGAACTTTTTCTAGGAATTGGGGAATGTTTTATTCTCAGAAGCTAGTCATTTAACACTGTAGAAAAATAAAAGCACTTGAAAATCAGACTCTAGGGAGTCTATTTGAATAAACTTCTGTGGTGTATTTTCTAAATAAGGAATTAAGTACAGCAACACTAGTGTAAAAAGTCAGCAGTTCTTACATGTGACGTGGCAATTCATGTATAAAGATCAGTTATGAAATTTGATGCAAATTGTATATTGCTAATATTAAAGTATAGAAGTTTGTGATTTATCTTACTTAGTAAATTAAAGTAAATTCCAGGTCTTCCATGTAGTGCTACCATTTGTGCTGAATGAATTCTAATAAACTTTCTAATGTGGAATGAAAAGGGGTAGAAGTGGTACATTAGCCTCTACATGTCAGTGAAGGTGAACAGCAGCTATTAAATCCTTAATAACAGTAGTATTACATCTCAATGTAAAGAAAACAAAAATCCTCACCACTGGACCAATAAACAACATTCTTATCAACAGAGAAAAGATTGAAGTTGTCAAGGACTTCATTCTTCTTAGATCATGGAAGTCAAGAGATCAGACGGCGTATTGCATTAGGCAAATCTGCTACACAAGACCTTTTTAAAGTGTTGAAGGGCTTGAGGACTAAGGTGCATCTTACCCAAGCCATGGTATTTTCAATAACCTTATATGCATGCAAAAGCTGGACAATGAATAAGGAAGACTGTAGAAGAATTGATGCTTTTGAGTTATGGTCTTGGAAAAGAATATTGAAAGTACCATGGACTGCCAAAAGAACCAATAGGCTCTTCGTTGGAAGAAGTGCAGCCAGAGTCCTTGGAGGCCAGGATGGCCAAACCTTGTCTCTCACACTTCAGACATATTGTCAGGAGGGACCAATCGCTGGAGAAATATATCATGTTTAGTAGGGTGGAGGGTCAGAGAAAGAGAGGAAGACCCCAGTGAAATGGATTGGCAAAGTGGCAGCATCAGTGGACTCAAGCATGGCAACAATTATGAGGTTGGCTCAAGACTGAGCAGGCAGTGTTTTGTTGTATTGTGCATAGAGTCACTATGAGTTGGTACTGACTTGGTGGCAACTAATAAGAACAACAGTAGTCTCAGAGTCCTGATGTGATGCTGTGGGATAAAGCACTGGACCACAAGGTCAGTTTGAAGGGTCAGTGGTTCAAACTCAGCACCCACTCTTTAGAAACCCTATACAGGGTCCCTATACAGGGTCATTATGAATCAGAACAGATTCAACAGCACTTAACAACTGTAGTATCACTAATACTGTAACATTTTATTTGTCTCCCAAAATCTTTTCAGAATTCTTCAAAATCTGGGTATATCCGTAGGAGTTTATCACATAAGTAAACCTCATTTATTATTTGTGCCACTGAAGAGCAAAGGAGCTCTGGTAGCGTAGTGGTTACGAAATGGGCTGTGAACCTCAGGGTCAGCAGTTTGAAACTACCAGCTAGTCCATGGGAGAACGGTGAGGTTTTCTACTCCGTAAAGATTTACAGCCTCGGAAACCCTGTACAGGGTCGCTATGAGTCGGAACCGACTCCACAACACATAACAACAACAACTGAAGAGCAAAGGAGTCCTGGTGTGGCGCTGTGGGTTAATGCGCTGGACTGCAAAATTGGTTTGAACTGCAAGGTTGATGGTTCAAGCTCACCAGTCACTCCTAGGAAACCCTATACAGGGTCGCTATGGGTCGGAACTGACTCAACAGCACCTACCAACAACAACAACTGAAGAACAAAAGATTGGGGAGATCTCTGTTGTGACCTACTGCCCAAAGCTATGCTTATATAAGGAAAAGTAAATTCATGTCAGCTATGGAGTTCATCTGAAAGCTACAACAGGCATATAGGGAGTGTTAATCCTAGAGGCAATTTAGCAGTATCTGCTGTGATACAGAAAAGGACTAGGTTTGCCCATTAAAAAAAAAAACAAAACTAAGTAATAGGGGAAAACGTTAATAGCTTTATTTTGTGGGGAAGGGAAAAAAAAAGAAGAAAAGAACTTCTCTCTTTCCAACTCATTCAATTGCCCTGAAATGTAGTCTTTTGACTTCATTCCTACTTCTCTATTTGTTACTGACACCTCCTAATGTGGGCACAGCTAATCACATATTTCCCTGCTGCTAGGGGTCACCAACTTACCCTACTTGTGATTCAAGCATGTGTTGATACCTTAAGACCAGTAAGAGGCTGATAAAGTAGGCAAAGTAGGGTGGCTGGGTTTGTTGTAATCAACAATAAGAGGAGGAACTTAGCATTAGCCCATGGAGTTTCAAAAGCCTAGTTTCCTTTTGTATGGAGGAAAGAAAAAATTTTAAATTAATGTCTTCCCAGAAAGGGGAGTCATAACACAATTTGGGCATTACATTTCAACTGTCTTATTGTTTTCTCTACTTTTGATACATTTAACAACTGAGGACAAAATATTCAGATACTTTTATTTTTATGTGATTTTGTACTGGATTCTTTTCAGGGTTTTTGCTCAGCAGCCCAGCTCCCTTTAGCTGAGTGAATGCACTCTCTCTCTCTCTGTAGGTAGCTGAGTGTTCTCTGGGAATAGCTTAAGAAACACTTCTGGATAGACCTCTTTGAACCACCGACTAGGGTAGGAACTTCAAGTGAAGACTAGGCAAAGAGGCTCACTACTAGAAATACAAACCAGCAGAACAAACTCTAGACATGTTTTTTGAATTTAAGTGTTTTCGGAGAAGCTGGATTCCATGTGGTATAAGCACCAGTACACAATAAGCTCATTTTGGTGTACTGTACCCTTATAGTTGCAATTTATTATGCTAAGGATAGTGTAGTGTAGAATTTCTACTTTCAGTTCTCATGCCAAAATCACTGAACCATCTCTCGCTTTCTCTTTAGGATGTCTCATGTACTTCAGTTTGAGGACAAAAGCAGAAAAGTGAAAGATGCAAGCATGCAAGACTCAGACACATTTGAAATCTATGATCCTCGGAATCCGGTGAATAAAAGAAGACGAGAAGAAAGCAAAAAGCTCCTGAGAGAGAAAAAAGAAAGAAGATAAAATGGGAGTAATGATAATCAGAACTACCTGGAAATGTGCTTGTAATAAATGGCCTTATAACAACCATTGATCTCAACAGCATCACTAAAGGGTGTGAAAAGAAGTATTTTTGAACCTATTGTCTGGTTTTGAAAACCAGTTATGTTGTTTTATAAATTATGGAATGACATAAACAAATGCTTTGGATTACTGGCCCATGCTCTTTTTTCGTAGTTGACCTTTTCTATTGCTAAATCTGAAATAAAATACTTTGCTTCCAGTTTATGTGTTAACCATTTTCAAGCTGTGCAAGCCTTTTGGGGTCTTTTTTTTAATCCTAAAATATGTGAAGGCTTCATATTCAACTTCCATAAGCTCTTTAGAAAGAGAATTTGAAAAGAACCGCCCCCATATACATTCTGTTTCCATAGTGCAAACTTAAGTATAATAAAAGCTATATAATATAAAGGTTGATTGTTTTATTTTGTTTTGCATGTAAATATCTGAGCTCAGCCAAACCAGCAATATTCAATAGCTTTATGCCTTGTATCTTGAGGAACCCCAAGTGAATAGTCATAGCTTCATCTAGATTAACACCTTGATTTTATAAATGTTACCCATACACTCCAAGGAGTCTGAGCAATGTCAGTTGAGCTCACTGCACACTCTGTCTGGCGCTTCTTAGCACAGCAAGACACATGCACAGAGCCCTGTCCAGCACTCTTCAAGAGTTTAGTCTTCAACAACAATTATTCATTGTTTGATGTTGTTATGACTCATAATGGCCCTATAGGACAAAGTAGAACTGTTTCTTAGGATTTCTGAGGCTGTAAATCTTTACGGGAGAAGATCTGTTGTTATTGTTGTTGGATGCCATTGAGTAGGCTCCGACTCATAGCAACCCCATGCAAAACAGAACAAAACACTGCCCTGTCCTATGCCATTCTTCCAATTCATGTTACACTTGAGCCACTGTGCCAGTCCATCTCTTTGAGTGTCTTCCTCTTTTTCACTGAGCCTCCACTTTACCAAGCCTGGTATCTTACTCCAGACACTGCACCCTCCTGATAATATGTCCCAAGTATGCAAGATAAAGTCGGGCCATCTTCACTTCTAAGGAGCGTTCCAACACAGATTTGTTTGTTCTTCAAGCAGTCCATGTTACTTTTAATATTGTTCTCCAACATCACAATTCAAATGCATCAATTCTTCTACAAAACAGATAGATGTAAAACAGAGATATATGTATCCACATATCTTAACATGAGAAAGAAAACCATCTATAAAAATGTAAAAATAACATCATTTTTTATTGTTTATGGATGTGCATATATATCACAAAATTACAAAAACATGAAATGATGGTTACTTCTGAGGAAGTAGTTTCACTTATATTTTTGTAATGTTTTATTACGTAAATCAGATGGTGAGTACTCATTTTTCAAATCCTGTATACATTTTGGTATGCCTTAAATATTTTACAGTTTTTCCTTTCAATCATATCTAGAAACTGAAATGAGAAGACAGAAGAACTCTTATTAACTGACAACACCTTTTTGCTTCAAGAAGAATATTTCAAACAGGAGGGAAGGGACAGAATGGAGATGCTCTGGTGAAATGTTAGCCCACTCAAAATACAGGTGATCAGATTTAAAACCTTCAAAGATAAGCCAGCATTTGGAGGTAGGTCCTGTTATCCTCTCAACCACAAGGGTTGGCAGTATCAGTTCTGTTCTCAGATAGTCAACAAAACAGAATTTTGTTTTCCAGGCAGACTCTTGATTGGGTTGAAGTACCTGACTGGGTTTTCTATCATGATTCCTAGAATGTGTCTGTCTTTGCCAGTACGATATTATCTCAAGAACATATGGAACCATAAGCCTGCAGGGTACAAGCCAAAAGAATAATGCTTGTAGATTAGAAGCAAGGATGGTGTGAGATTTCATGTCATTTACAAGGAGTTCTGGTAGCGTAGTGGTTAAGAATCGGGCTGCGAACCTTAATGTCAGCGGTTCGAAACTACCAGCTGCTCCATGGGAGAAAGATGAGGCTTTCTACTCCTGTAAAGATTTACACCCTCGGAAACCTTGTACAAGGTCGCTATGGGTCGGAACCGACTCAACAACACTTAACAACAACAACTTTGGACAAGGTATCAGAAGGGATCAATTCCCAGAGAACATCATACCTGGTAAAGTAGTGGGTCAGCAAAAAAAGATGAAGATGCTCAACAAGATGGATTAACACAGAAGCTGCAATGATGAACTCAAACAGTAAGGACTATGAGGATATCAAAAGACCAGGCAATGTTTTGTTTTATTATACTCATAAGGTGGCTATAAGTCAGAACTGACCCAACAACACCTAACAACAAGAACAACAAAAAAGATAACAAAATTAAAATTTCTGGTTAGTTGAATAACCCCCATTTTGCTACAATCACAAGAGTAAAAAGGTCTGTGGTTCTACTGAGATTGGACCCTTATCAGAAGAATGTCCACCATGATTATAAAATTTACTTTGAACTTTTAGATAATAACAATAACAACATTTTTAAATAGCTTGAAAATATAGCTAAATTTTCTGACAAATGTTGTAGAAAATGTGCTCATAGTAAAGTTGTTAGAAGAATGTGTTTTGAAGTGTATGCATTGTTTAAAGAATATTTTAAAGACAAAAACAGAAAATTTGTTAGGAAACTAGCCTTTAAACGTTATTCTAATTTTATATTTATTTGAGTTTCTTTAAAAAAAAGAAAAAAAGAAAGAAAAGAAACCTCTAGAAGCTATCTTGTAATGCTGAAATCTTAGAATTTGTGTTCATTGTTTTTTGCAAAACTGGATATTCTATACAGCAAAGAGGACATCAACTTATGACAATTTTTCTTGTCATTTCTTGACAAAATATTTTTCAACTTTGGCTGAAACTGTTAGTGAGATGAAAGTTAAAACTGACTCATTTCGGCTTCTTTTTCAATAGGCGAGGGAAGTAAATTCAGTTCTCTATAGACATTTAATAGTGTAATGTCATATGCCCCTAGCTTTCTGTATACCCTGAGGCCACACAGTTGGTAATGCATCTAAAAATGGGGACACCATAGAGCAAGGTCATTAAAAAGTGTGAGGAGATGAGTGTTTTGCTGCTGTTGTTTTTAGAACAAGTTCAGTAAGTTAAGGTGTCTTTGTCAAACTGTCACTACCAACTTTCTTGATAGGATCTGACGTGTGAGGTACATAAACCTGTCCTGGTGAATCAGTGTGGCCTGTATAGAAAATGTTAGATAAAGGCAGAATATTGCCCAAACATGCTGTTTAATCTTGGTGATAACAAGAAAGAAAATGGAGGTGTGAAGTGATTACCATTGAGGGTTGTCTCAGTACAAGCAATTTGTATGTATGAGGTGTGGAGAAGTTAAGAGAGGTTACATTCTTTAACACTGTCATTCACAAAAAGGCAGGTCTGGTTTCTCTATGGCTTTGACTCAATTCCAAGGACTGAATAGTTTATCAGGTGGTGCCATTTCTGCTTACTAGAAAGCAGACGGTTTTCCTGTCACATGTAGGTTATATCTCCTTTCTTCTTTTAACTTGTAATGACGAGAAAGGAAACAAGGAGCTATATTGTAGACAAATTCTTTCTAATAAAACATGATAAAATTTGAATTCCAAGAGTAATAATAAAACAGCAAACCATACTAGAAGGGGTACTTAAAGTCCTATATTTATATAAAGAATATTCATTGATTCAAAAAATTCCATGTTGTTTTTTAACTTTTAATTGTGAATTGAGTGAAGGTTTACAGACAAGATCATCAGATTTGCATTCAACAAATCGTAAACTTGGTTTCATTTCGGTGATTACAATCTCCTCCATGCAACAACAGTTATCCTCTTCCCTGTGCTTCCTATTTGTGTTCCACTCAACTCCCTATCCCTTCTCAAGTGTGTTCTTAGCTAAGTGTTGCCCTTTTGATTTTGAATTATTGACCATTCATTCCACGGTGAGTATGCCTATAAACTTATCTATTGCTTGGCCGAAAATTGAGCTACAAAGGTTCATTCCTTTCCAGACCTAAAGAAATAAGAGCGATAATGTCAGGTTCCTTCTGACCAGTAAACCCGGTCTTTTTTTTTTTTTTTTTTTAATAATTTTGAGTTTTATTCCACAGTTTCTCCCACTCTGTCTGGGACCCTCTAATGTGATCTCTTTCAAAACAATCAGTAGTGGTAGCCAGTCACCATCTAGTTCTTGTCCCAGGGCCATGGAGACTAGTGTTCACATGTTCCATTAATCCATTGGACTAATTGATTTCAAGCCTCTTCGGTTCTTACCACTCTTCTTTCTTCTGCACATGGAGAGGCCAATAGCTGCAATTTAGATGGCGCTCATGAACTTTCAAGATCTCAAACACTGCTCACCCAAATATAATGTAGAACATTGTCATTGTGGACTATGTTATGGCAATTTGACCTGAGACTATTATCCTGAGTGTCCAGGCCCAGCAACTCATTGCCTTAAGTTGTATGTATCCCACTCTTCCTCCTTCACCCATTCAACCCAGATCTCAATCCACGTATCTATGCACAGAACACTGTTGTTCCAAGATTGTATATATATACATATATATATATCACTATTTACCTCTATTCCCTTTAGCCCTTGCATACCTCTCTGTGTCTTCACCTATCTTCACCAGTCTTCTGCCACCCTCCCTCTTCTTGTATATTGCTCTCCCTATCACCCAAGCTAATGTGCCTACCTCTAGCAAGTAAATTACTTTCCTTCCCTCCCACACCCATCCTTTTAGCATGAAAACCTTTTCTTAAGTTTTTACAATAATGGTTCCATATAGTATTTGTCTTTTTGTAATTGACTAATTTCACTTAGCACAATGTCCTCTAAGTTCATCCATGTTATGAGCTGTTTCACAGATTCATTATTCCTCTTCAACATTGCATAATATTCCATTATGTGTATGTACCAAAGTTTGTTTATCCTTTCTTCCATTGATGCATACTTAT